TAGAAAAAGAAGCTTGTTTCATCTCCTGTTGAAATACAAGGTCAAGAAGGGTACCAGACTGCCTGTAATCACTCATCCTTCTCCAGAGACCACGATCTACACCATGGCATAACAAAAGCCTCATACCTGATAAAACATATTTTGGAAAAGTCCAGTGGCCCCTGGCAAATAATGGAGAGGTGTGAGCATGCCTCTGGTCCAGAGCTGCCATCCTAGACAGCTAGTGGGGTAAATCTCCCCGTCATGGCTGTAACCCAGGCTGGGCAAGAAACTATTCTACAGCCTGTAAAAAAAAAAGGAGAAAAAAAAATCAAGAGACCATTTCACAGCATGATCTTGGCACGTCACCAAAAGCAAGACAGAATGGAGTTGCCCATGACTGGCTTTGCATAGCCATTGAAAGCATTTCTCCCTGGGAATCCCTTTCCTTTCCACATAGCTTTCCAAGCTGGGGCTTGACAAACCAGAACAGACAGCTTCGAAAACACATCCTCCTTTGCAGAGACAGTCATGGGTCAGGGATTCAAAACAGATCCAGTCATGCTGCAAGAGAAGTTGAGGGGGAAGGGCTTATTTTGGGTTTAAAAACAAAACAAAGTAAAACAAAATCCCTACCACCCCCCCAAGCACTGTTAGACACATCTCTTCTCTTGGCCCCAGCAAGAGATTCAGCAATAAACTTTTTGACTTTAACACCCTGGCCCTTCCCTGCAGCCCTGTGGAAGGAACTGGATAGCAGCATATACACATCTCCCCAGCCTCTCAGGTCTTAAATTTTAGTCCTTACTTTTTGAAAACTTCTCCTTTGATGAACGTTACTCCTCTCTTATTATGTTCAAACCCGACTCAGCTAATTACTAAGAGGTTACCATACGTAAGCACGTGTAACTTAATAAAGCAAAGAACAGCAAGACAACCTGATGCTCGCTATACCCTCATGACTGCAGACTGCCTCTTTCCTGGCTGTTCTTTGCTGTGCACCCACGTCACTTGGCTACCATCTCTTATAGTATGGTATGGATACCCCTTTCTTACGGAGAGAGGGTACAGCTGCGTCTCCAGGTCATTGGGAGCTACAGCAGATCACTGTCCTTTGCCTGAGGGCTACCATAGTCACCTGGAGCAGTAGAAGGTTTGAGAGCCAAGCTCCGACCAAGATGAAATGCCACTGCAATTCTGCTCCCCTCAAAAAACTATGTTGAGACTGGAGTAATGAAAATTGAAGATATCCTGACAATGAGAATAAATACATTTTATTTCATGCTGGACAAAGGTAGAAGTGCAAGAATTTCTATGAAGAGTCCTCCAGAGCCTGGATGTACCCCTCCAGGGCCAGGATGGAGAGGGTTCCCCAGCCGGCTGCAGCCCTGGGGCTGTGCAAAGGACACCACAGTGTCACCCTACCTGACCAAGTGCAGGGTGCAGCAGTCCAGCCAGAACAGGAATCACCTTCAGTCAGATTAAGATCTAAGGGAAGAGGCTCAAACCCAACATATTTCTCTTTGGGAAAAATAAACCTGCCAGAAGGGCATGGGAAGGGGCCTGTTTGGTGTACACAGGGATGGTCACAGCCTCTCTGGCTGGAAGGGTGGATGAGCTGTGGGGGGAGAGTGGCAAGCAAATAACAACTTGTTTGGCTTGTTTGTTTTATCTTTCTTTCTTCAGATGTTGTCCTATACAAGTTTTCAACCATCATTTCCTTCTCTTTTTTTTTTTTTTTTTTCCATTTTACACTGTCAAAAGAAGAAGGCAGGGAAGGCTGAAGGGGAGGGAACGGGAAAAATGGGAAGGAAAGAAATTAAGAAAGAAGAGAATGAAGAAAGGAAAATACACGACCTTTTGACTTTGTTTCTTTTTTAACAGACTATTTTTCTGATTTTCCTTTCAGCAGAGAGGGGGAAAATAGTCCTTTCTTCTATATACAGTGTCGTTCCTTCAACCAGGAGGAGCAGCACAGTATGGCCTCCTCATAACTTCTGCTGGACTTCAGCTTCAGTTGCATTATGTCTTGGCATCTTATCAACAATTAGAGGCAGAAAAAAACCTCTCACTCCTTTCCATACCATCCCTTCTATAGTGTATTTACACGGTGGTGGTGTGCAGAAAGGGAGCAATTTCCCATCAGATAGACTCAGAAGTCTACAGAAGTGGCCATTTCCAGGGGCTGATGGAGACCTGTCAGATCTGTCGTATGCACGCAGCAATACCTGAGACGTCTGTATCAGTTTAGCAAACCATCACTTGGTCTCTCACCATGCCTGTGTGCTGGGGGTCTCATAGCAAAAGACAGCAATCAGTGGCATTTTCCCCTGTTCCCCCAGCTGAGTGTGCTTGGATCACTGAGCTTTCCCTTAAACTTCCTTGCAGTCTATCAATCCCAATCAAAGTGTCTGGATGAATTTCCTGATCCTGGGAATTTTGTAATTGCTTTCAATGGGGACAGCAATACCTCCTCTGACTTTATTAAAATATGCTGCTTCCAGGAAGAGGTGGGACGCTACTATCAGATTATAGAGAAGCAAAAGACGAACCAGCTCATGCAGTATTTATTTCCAATAACACAGCCCCACATTTGCGCTCAAAACTGAAAAGTGATTTGCATTGTTATCAGACTACATCCGAAAAGGGAGTGAACACATCTCCATTACTCCTCTGGCAGTACAAGGCAGCAGGAGCAAAGGGGTTAAATGAACCTATGAAGGGTTGTACCAGAAACCCATGCCAATGCCTAAGACTGAATCTGGATGGCAAGTCTCAGTCCTCTAACTTTCCTTTCTGGTGCTTGAAGAAGAGAAAGCAGGTTTCCTTCTCAAAACCAATACCGCTATTTTGACCACAGGTACTGCGAAGGCAGCTGCACCCCGTGACCCTCAGGGGCAGTGATCCCTCCAGCTGAGGGTGCTGTGCCACCCTGGTGCTGCTGCTCCTTGGTGGCAGCCACTGGCTTTTTCTCCAGCTGCCTGCAGAGACCCACTGCAGGGAGCTGCTCCCCCCACCAAATGGTGAGCAACGCTGCTGGGAGGGAGAGGAAAAAACACCAAAATACTTACCGTGAGGCCTGACTGCAAGCCTCTGGATGTTAAGCTCTTCCCACGACTATTGCTGCAATGTGACATTTAGCTCTTGAAAAAATAGAAATAAAATAAATGGTATCTTATGTGGTGCTGCAGTCCTTTGCAGGGAACAAGAATGAGATGTGCCAGCTATCTCTACCTTTTAGAGTAAATCATCTCCAAACAATAATGTCCCAGAGAGGTACAAATTTTGATACTTGACTTTCAGTGTTCATTTCACCAACAGTTTGTAGCTTTTAGTTTTTAAAGGAAAGGAAATTAAATGGAGAAAAGATTGCCCTATGTTAATTCACCAGTTAAACTCACAGGAAACTGCAAAAGATAAGGTTCCCATAGCAATTGGAATAGGTAGCGCATTGCACAGATGAGGCCCGATTTTCCCGCTTACTTTCAGTGCTGGTGGTTTATCTTCACACAGCACGGGGAGAAGCAATTACTTGGAACGAGGAACAAGGGAAAGGAGCCTGTGGCATCTCTGATTTTTTTAATGGCCATTCTCCGGGATGGTTTGATGTGCTGCTATTGCAACACAGCTGTGCACCGGCGCAGGTACCCTCGACTGCAGCAAAGCTCCCGAGGATATCCTGCCATGGGCTTTTCCCATGGTCTTGAATGTGAAATTCTGACAGGCATTCAAGCAGGTTTTGGCAGGGAGTTTTACAACCCCAGCCCCCACAGGACAGAGCTGTGTGGCATCACACCAAACACTGCATCCGAGTGCAATCCCTCCCAGCCATTGCCTTGCATTCATGACTACCCTGGCAACAAGAGACCTTTAATTCAACACAATCTGCTTCCAACGAACCCATCTTACCTATTAATTATTGCCTTATTTTGCCTAGCTTATGATTATTGTGCTTGATTTTGTCTTCCTTATCCCCTGAGCAGTCATCTGCAGCAAATCTGAGGGAGAGCAATCTTTCTCCCACCCTTGCCCCAAAGCTACTCTGCAGCACAGAATCAGGCCCATCAGCTCCTTCATTAATTCCTCTATAAAATGCCCCAGCAGTGCAGTTAAATTTTGGGCGTGCAGTCCCCAGGGTCTCATTTCTCCCTGCTGTGCTGCAGCTCTTTTTTTTTTTTTTTCTTTTTTTTTTCCTTTTTTTTTTTTTTTTAACAGCTGTACTGGGACTTTTTCTGCACTCTATAGATTTTCTGAAAGAATTGTCAAATATTCCGCTGTTTCACTCTCAGATGCATTTTCACTGGGCTGTGTAGCTTTGACCAAGAGCGAGTCCCCTAAATAGTTATTCCTCACCCCCTTTCCATCCTGAGACTGCCTGGAGATCCATCACCAATAACTATGATTACATCGAACACCCTGTCATTCTCTTCCCCTTCAGTGACAACTGAAACTGTAACTATTAACACTGCAGCCTTCTTTTATCATTGCTTATGATATGTTCCTGGCTCCCTCTCCCTCGTACATAGGTGACCTAGCAATGCACTTTCCTTTGTCATCCTCCAGTTTCTTATGTACTTCTGAACCAACTTACTTATCCCCCACACTAACACCTCATCATTTTGTGCTTTGCATCCCTAACTTTGCTCCTGCACACCGTTATTCTCTGCTCTCTCACTGCTGTGGTTTCCTTTCCTCCTCCCAACACGATCCCTTTTTTTATTTTATTTTATTTTTTTTGTTAAAACACTGTTTTTCTCTTCCCCACCAGTGTCAATACTGGAGTACACTTTGAACAAAAGCATGTTGCTCTCTTCCCAGCTGCTGACAGGGAAAGTTGTCCCCAGGGTGTCAAAAGAAACACTGTCCCCGGTGGGTGCAACCAGCTGGCTGGAAAGAGAGGATGTCCCAGATGCTTCTGTCTCAGATCTGAGGGAGAGGAGGGAAGAGTCCAGGACAGAAAATAAACCACTTTGAGGAGAAAGCGAATCAGCCCAGGGTATGGAGGAGACATCCCCAGTGCCTCAGAAGTGAGTTTCTCTCTCTGTGATGCTGAGCACCTGGACCGGAGGGGACCATCCCTGTTTGGATAGACTCGCCACGTGCTTCTTCGGCTGCGGCAGATCCTCTGCTGGGGAAATCAGCTGCGTCAGCCGCTGTGGAGGGGAAGTCTCTGTTAATTAAGCTGATAAACAAACTGACACCCAATAGTGATCCACAACCATTGCTGGGGGCAAAGGCATCTAGAGAGCTAATCCTCCCAGCTCCTCTCCTGATGAATGGCTGTGAAAGGGAGAGGAAGGAGAGTAGACTCGCTTTAACTGCTCTTGACAACAATTATTCCACCTCTGAGCTCAAAGCTGGGCTGTGGACTGACAACCCAACGTACAAGGCTCCTCACAAACATGTTTCCAGGAGGGACGCTAGTGATTAGCCCTACAGACATTTTCTGTGGCCACGGAAAAAACACCATAAAGCCCCCTTTTTTTTCCCCTATGCCAAGCAGCCATGCTTCCCATTGAATTCTGTGGGAGCTGTGGAGCTTTCCAAATGGTCTGACCATCATAAAGTGTTGGGCATCTCCTGCTAAGGTACAAAACAGGGTGGCAGGCAGAGACCGTTGCTGTGAATTTCTGGTCTTTCTCATCCCATTTTTGAAACCCCTCTGGTACCACACACTTGAGCACCTAGGCTCCTTCCAACACCAAGTAACATGCAGTGTCCCGCAGCTGCCTGCCCAGCTCCATGGGCTAGCACATCACTTCCGTGCTGAATACCAACTTTCACAGTTACTAACTTTTTCCATCACAACCTGTTCAGGCCATTGCATGCTCCTCCCTTGCAGAGTGCATCACAAGCAGAGCAGTCAATTCGCCCATGACTCATTGGATTAATTTCAGTGTTTCCGCTCCTTGTAAAGTCCCTGCCAGAATCTTGGATTTTGCTCATTTATTCAAAACTAGTTGCCCCATGATTTCTGAAATCGGCCTTGGCCTACAGCTGCTCTGTGAGCAGTTCATCATGAGTCTTCAGTCTTTGGAGCTCGAGCTGTCTTCATCAGACACATGAGGAAATGATGTTTGTATTTCTTGATCAGCGAAATATAACAAGAGGAATCAGTTTGTTGCAGTTACTGATCATAATTACCAATTACAAACTTGCTTTCAGCAAATGGTTTGGAATATTCAGTTTAAAGGCACTGTTCCTGGAAGCATCTGTGTCAGGAAATTAATTCACTACATTTCTGGGGTGTGACTGGAAGAAGGGAACAGGTATGTTTTGAGAAAAACCTGTTTTCAAAACAGGTGCAACTATTCCAGAAGGTATTGCGTGGTTGGTTTTGATTCTCTCCTGAATCAACTCAGGTTTAGCAGCCAATTCCTTCCTGCATGCCTAAACCACATCCTCAGAAGTTTCTTCCTACTAATATAACTGAGAAGTCCCTGGGAATTAAAACTAATATAATTTAAACCAGGGCAAATAGAAAAACCCTCCACCTGAAATTGGCCAAATCAATTCCTCAGATGTGCTGTAAAATAAGCATTAATACTACTCACAGCAGCATTTCAGTCCAAGGGCTCCAAGCACCTTGCAACAGGTAATAAATATTGCTTGTTTAGCAGGCAGGACATTTGGGCAATTACTTCACTGACAGCTCCAAGTCCTCATTTAGACATATGAAACCTCTGAGCTGTGGGGAGTCAGACATGTTGTCAGCCACCCAGTCAAAACACTCAAACCAGCCATGGGAAAGGACAGACACATTACTGCTGAATGGACTGGAGCACAGGAGAGGGCTGTAAGAGGCAGGACTCAAGGTCTGAACTTGGACTAAATCATATCACACCACCTTGGCACAAAATTCACCTGGAGTCCCTCATACCGAAAGGTGTACAGCTCCCAGCTCCCTCCCAACCTTGTTGTCTCTTCATGGCCACCAATGGCAACCAGTAGGCCCAAGGGCCAAAGGCAGCACAATGTGACTGTCACACCTACACCACAGCCACAGGGATGCTCCCATGCCCTATCCATCTGCTCCCCCTGCAACTAACCACAGATGAGCCTACAGCCAGTGAGGATGCGGAAGGACTAGAAATTAGTGTAGAAATGTATATGCACTGTACATCACTCAGGTCTTTCTTCATGGGTCAGGTGGGGTGTCATCTCCATGACACCATCTTCCTAGACACAGCTCTTCCTAGGATAGGGACATGGTGTCTACAGTGAAAGAGGACAGACTTGGGTATGGCACAGGGTTGACATTTACAGCTCCGTGAGCATGTCTCCTTTACTAAACATGGGTAATTTCTTCAGAGAAAATAACATGATCCTGACCCAGAACCAAAAGGGAAGCAGGTGCAAGGACAAGAAGAAAAGGTAAAACAGATTGCACCTGCTTTGCACTGGCACCAGTCAGTAACAGAAGAGGAGACAAAGGTGGTGGCATGTTATCTTTACTTACATGAAGAGTGGGACCACCTGAACCACAAACCAAATCATTCAGCCTCTGGCCTCAGATAGCCCACACTGAGAGGGTCCTCTGCGATCCAGTGGAGCCAGTGCTAGAGACACGCTGCATATATCTACATATTGCACTGAGCACGGTGGTGCAATGTCTTGTGGAAGACTCTGGACATTTGATGATCACTGTGGGAGCTGCGCTGAGACTCTCCAAGACCTCCAAAATACCAACAAGAACTATAGGGAATTCTGGGGAAGGGTCACCCTCACCCTCCCTTGCCTTATCAGAGGAGAAATATGCCACGTGCATCTTCCCTGGGGCCCTTCCCATCAGCCATCTTGGGGAAGCAATAGCAACTTGCCCAGTGACCACAATTTCAGTACCTGCTTCAGGGGTCCTTTGGTTTTCAGGAGCATGAAGATTGCGTGGAGAGGAACACAGAGCATGGAGGAGAGTGCCATCATCCAGCCCACCATGTAGCCCCAGGGCGGGTACACATAGGAATTGTTGTATTTCAAGGGGGTGTACTTGATCAGGGAAAACAGGAAGACGGCCTGAGGAGCAAAAAATGCAGACATAGCCAGACCAAAGGGAGCAGCCAAGCCAGACAGCCTGGCCACCCTGCAAGCACCTTCTGGGTGGCAATGAGTGTGCTTGCTGTTTTGCAGGAGCTAGCACGAACCCTGCTAGAGGCAGCAAGGAAGAGCTTGGTGTGTGCTGATTGCACATGGAGTTATCTCAGAGCCAGGGACAGGCTTCTGCTCAGTGTAAAGCCTTCAGGCTGCCTAAGGGTTCAGCCTAAGCAAAGTTGGCAGCAGCTTTGAAGGTCCACAAACATGGACACAGCAATTTATTCAAATTAAGGAATTGTTGTTTTCCCTGGCAGAAGCCCCCCAGAAGTATCACACGGGCACAGATTTAACCCTCTTGGGGCTCTCTAGCCACAGAGCTCTCAGGTGATTTTGGCTGGATCAGGCTTGCCTTAAAAATTTGCCTGATACTCAACTCCTGCTGGAGCCTGACGACAAAGGACTAGAAATCTTTTGTAAGCTGTAGCTGTAGATCCCATCTGTTTTCCCATTGAGGTCAAAGAAAATAACTCTCAACTTCAGATGCAGGAACAGAATTTGGCTCAGAAATTATGTAAAAGTCAGTGGAGAAAGACTGGACACAAACTCAAAACAGGCAAGAGCTTGCCTGACTCAGGGTGTAGTTCTTTAAACACAGTTGTCACAGAATTTTTAAAGATTTAATAACATAGAAAGCAAACAGCCATGGAAAGATATTTCTGAACCACAGGAGGCCACAGGAACTTGCTGAAGCAAGTATTTCAGAACAGGGTAATTCTCATTGGTCTTCTATTCAAAAGTAATTTGACTAAACCTCTCCAGACTTTGAGGGTACATTTCCATTTGCCTTCACAGTAAACAAGTGGCTTTTCAGGCTCAATTAATTTTCCAGGCAAAAGATAAGGCTTTACAAAAGAAATAAATTGCCACCTCAGCTATGGATAAGCCTCTACTTCTCCGTAGCAGTTTGAAAAAATTACAGCAGCACCTTGAAGACAAACCAACCTTTTCCACTGAGAACCCAGGGACCCAGAATAACATGCCATGTTGTCATAACCGCACTTACCAAGCACAGACCCGGGGTGAACGCCAGCCAGCATATCTTGATCAAGGGCCACGGCCGGAAACCAATCATGTCCTCAATGTTGTCATAGAAGCGGTTGGCACCTTGGCCACCAGCCAGCACAGAGACAAAGTCAGAGGTCAGATAACTGTCATTTCCTTCAACCACTACTCACATCATATCCCAACTTTCTTTATCCTCAGTGTTTACTCCTGGCAAAAAAATGGTTATCCTAATAAAATAGCAGTAGGTAATGGGCTTTTCTGTCATTGAAAAGGCCCATCTGTGGCTAAATATAGATGGAGGTTTTTAACTTCAGCCACAAGTTATCAGAAAGCTTGACATAGAAGAAATGCCCTATCCTTCAGACAGCAGCAGCTGTAAGCAAGAAGATATAGTCTATGTGCCTCTAAGAGCTGGTAAGGACTGGCACAAGGCAAGGAAGGGTGCCTGGTTTAGAGGTCAGCAAGAGAAAGCTCTTGCAGGTTAAGCACATGGGATTGTATGAGCCCAGAGTGCCAAAAGGAGCAAAGAGAGTGGGGGACACCAAACAAAACCCTCTCTTGTAACCAGATTGGCATACCAGGGAAGTCATGTCAAGAATCCCCACTGAGATGGCCATTTCCCGTGTCATGAAGAGCCTGCTTTCCACAGATTTTTTTTTTTCTTTTGGCATAAGAAGACCTGGCAATCCAAACTCTGCTGGAAGCCAAATCATCCATTTGCAAGCATTGTTTTACTGTCCAATGGGTGCCTGATCTTACTCTCCTCTCATTAGTCTCACCTGCTAGATTATGTTGTCCACAATATGCAGCACCCACCAGAACCTCATGGTGCATCACAGTGGGATAAACCTCTGAAGAGCATCTAAAAGTCCTGCCACTGGCCAGACCCTATGCATTGACTCTTCCCAACCCAAAGCACGAAGAGGAAACGTATGCAATGGTATATAAAGGAGACAGCTTAATGCAGATGGACTTCAGCAGGCCTTGTAGTAAGCTCTAGGAAGTCTTCAAGGAACAAGAGCCTAATGTTGGACAAAAAGAGATGTAAAATGAAGAAGAATAAAAAAGTCATTCACATAAGATGCCCTAACTTCTTCCTAACTAGAGCTAACCAGACGTACTATATGAGACTGCCTCAGGTAAAAGAGAGTAACAGTATTAGACAAGAAAATGGAGCTAGCCTGTCCATAGAAAGGGTTAGCTCTGGGATGAAATAATACCAGATTTGTTGTATTGAAGTTTAATCACAGTGCTTAGCTGATAAAGAAGGGCTCTGCTTTTAGGGGTGTTCATCCCACTGCGAACTCAAGAACATGCCACAGTTTTCACCTGGAAGCATGATGAGACCTTGCTTCTTTGCATCTTAACACCAGAAGGCTGGGCAGGGCAAAATATGTGCCTAGAGGACTGGCCACAGCTGAGAGTGTTTGGGGTTTGGTGGGTTTTATTTTGGTTTGTGGTTTTCATATATTAGAATTAAATTCCTGTATTATGTTTCCTTTAAATGTATTAATTCTACACAAGCACGTTATGTGTGCTTTTCTTTTTTGTAATTCTTTGCATTATTTTCTATATCTCATGACTAATGTTTGTAGGAAAGCTCTTTTAAACCCAGCTTTTTGAAGTATTTGGGGGGGTTGGTGGGTTGGAGCAGGTTCTTTGAATACCCCGTGGTTCATCTTCAGCTGGCAAGTTAACAAGTAGCCTCAAGCAAAGACAACAAGCTGTAGCATATCAAGGGACACGTAGCCTTGTGTGGGAGCCCAGCCTGCACCAGAGAACAGAACCCTAAAACTTCCAAGCTGTAAATATCATGAGGCTTCAGATAGCATTTCTGAAAATACACCAGGGATGAAAGGGAGCTGATATAAAAAAATTATTTTGCCAAAAAGCCAAAATCTTTCATGGGGTGAAAAAAAAAGGAGAGAGATTAAAATGGTGCGACTTGCAGTTCAGAATATGAGCACAGCACAGTCTTTTTTACCATACAGTGTTTCTACAGAAACACACTGGGATGTCAGGCTTATGGCAGGTAAGTCTGTATTATTATTCATAATACAACTTTGTGGAAGACAAAGTTTCACCGCAAATCTGGATCCAGTGGAAGAGACATAGCAATTAAAGAAATAAAAACATGCCAAACACAAGGAAAGACACAACAGACATCCATCCTACACCAAGAAAACAACCCAAAACTTATGTTGTTAGCTGCGATGTGTCTCCACCTGTCTTTATCCCTATTCTCCATAGTACAGCATGTCCTGCATTTCCACAGCCGCTGTGGCAATCAGCAGGTGATGTGATGAAACACAATGGGACCTGACATGAACGTCCTCAGAGAGTATGTGAACAGGAGGTTTTAAATGTTCTGTAAAAAGGCAGATGAAAAAGTAATCAAGTAATACCCAAACTGAAAGGCATGAAGATTTGATTTTATTTTCACAATATTCAGAAACAGTGAGTTTCACAGATCTGCTAGTTTGGAATCTATGAATAAGCCCTCCCTTTTAAATATTTTCTCCCAAGCTGCATTTATTTGCATTCATCTATATTGAATTTCATCCACAAGATTACAATAGGTGATGACCCCAGCTCTATGCCATAGTGCTAAGCTTGTATCTGCTCCCTTCCTGTCCCAAAGCTGCAGCATCAACACCTGCACCAAACCAGTGCAAGGTGCCAGCAGCAGAAGCATTGCAGTACTGCAACTACTGAGCACCCGTTGGGTACCAGGTGCACAGTGGAGGGCCCTATGATCCATAAATAAGCATGTAAGATTGCCTGTCGCCGGTGTATCCCTGAGGATAAAGCACAAGCAGCTAGTGCAAGCCCGACAGCCAGGATCCAGGCAGAAGGAGGCTGCTGCTTCTGGTAGCCACGCTGCATGTGAGCAAGAGAGCAAGAGAAAGCAAGCACAACACAGATTTACCCTAGGGCCGCCCACAGGTACCCTCTGGCATCAGTTTGCTTTAGCTTTGTCAACAGTCCTAATGGTTCCAGCATGGCTCTCCTGCAGTGACAGAGGCACTTGCTTTCTCCTGGAACAGCTAATCTTAATGTGCATGCTGTGAATGCCTGGAAAACATCCTCTCTGCAGCACATTTCAGTGGCATCATGTGAATACCAGTGCTCAAACCCCTTATATGAGGGCTGCCTGTCCCAAAGTAGAAGGAAGAGAGGGGGGAAAAAAGACCCCAAAACCCTCCAGCTCCTCTAATGAATGGGATCAGCAGGTCTGATGCTGGGCGATCCTTTCACAAGCAGAGAGAGCAGTACCTGAGGAAATCCTCAGATCTTTGCAAGAGCAGCTGCCTGGCAGCAGAGGGAAGCTGCCAAGTGGTGGGTGGTTGGCGTATGTGCTGAGAGAGGGGAAACTCAGAATGCATATTTGTGTTAGCAAAAATGCTGTAATTCTTCACAGCGTAAGCAAGAGGCTCAGCCCTGACAATTTGGAGGCTGGGAAAAAAAACATTACTTAGTACCAGACACTTTTTTCCCACTGAGATGCCCCATGTTGGGCCCCTGACTACATTTCAGATCAAAATGAGTCCATCGATGCAAAACAGATCATCAAGAGGATAAAATCCCGCTGTGTGGAGTGGGGCAAACGAACCCACGGTGATGAGGGAAAAGACCATTTCTCAGTCCCCAGCTGCTCTGTCCCCCCTTACAGGCTGCAGGGGCAGCACCCCCTCTGCTGCTGTTCATTGTCTGCAATTACTCCGCTCCATGGGTCATCAGAAAAGGCACATGGCCTCTGTGACTGTAAAAATGGCAGGGGGCTCCTATACATTAAAGCATAATTCAGCTTAATGCAACTGAGCATGGTGATGATGAAGCCCTGTTACAGATGGATGGGAATCTCCATCCCCCTGGAAATCCCACAAGGGCTGGGCAGAAGACAACTCTAAGATAAAAGTTGGCCAAGGTTTGGTATTGCAAGCTCCCAAGTGATCTTTCTTTGCAGGACATCTCTTGAGAATAAATGTCTTACAGATCTACTTCTCTTGTATTCTCCCAAGGTCAAGGTCAAGCCCAAGCAGCAGGACCTGCTCCCATTACGGCAAGAGAGGAGTCCATCCAGACCAGCAGTTGGCTCCTGCTGTACATAAAGTGTTTGGAGAAACTGATAACCCCTTCATCAGCCACTGCACTACAGACAACGAAACCTCTATAAAAACGGTAAGCACCAAAAGGAGCACACAGGGACTGACTGCTCACTGTCACTTCTAAAATAAGACAAAGGTGGTGCCAAATTAAATTAGCAGGTGGCAGATTCAAAACAAGGAAAAGAGAGTGACTCCTCACACAGTATCTGGCCAAGCCATGAAGCTCCTTGCTGCAGGATTTTGTGGATGATAAATGCTTGCCTGAGTCAACTGGAAAAATTAACATAAGAGAAACAAATAGATGTCACTTCTGGCTCTTGAAATCCCTGAGCAACAAGCTGAGTATTGCATCTGGCTCTGGGACCCCCAGCACAAGAAAGAAATGGACCTGTTAGAGTGGGTCCAGAGAAGGCCCATCAAAATGATCAGAGGGCTGAAACACTTCTGCTGTGATGAAAGGCTGAGAGAGTTGGGGTTGTTCAGCCTGGAGAAGGCTCTGGGAAGACCTTGTTGTGGCCATTTGATATATAAAGGGGGCTTGTAAGAAAGACAGAGAGAGGCTTTTTACCAGGATTTGTAGTGACAAGACAAGGGGTAACAGTTTTAAACTGAAAGAGGGTAGATTTCAACTGAATATAAGGAAGACATTTTTTACTATGAGGGTGGTGAGGTACGGGAACAGGTTGCCCAGGGAAGTTGTGGATGCCCCGTCCCTGGAGGTGTTCAAGGCCAGGCTGGATGAGGCTTTGAGCAACCTGGTCTAGTGGGAGGTGTCCCTGCCCATGGCAGGGGGGTTGGAACTCGATGATCTTCAAGTTACTTTCCAACCCAAACCATTCTACGGTTCTGTAATAAGTTGTTAGAAGATGGAAGAATATTCACAGAAAGTTTCATTGCTAACTTTTCTGCTGTTGTAGTCTTCCCTGAACATCCACTCCTGGCCATCGAGAGAGACACAACACGATGCTCATGCCTGCAATAATTTCCCTGGGTTAGGATGACCATGCTGCTTGGCATTGCTGGGAGCCAGGAGGTGTGTGATTGTGGGATGCTGAGGGTCTGGTCTAAGCTGGAATCTGATATAGCTTTCCACAATCCTTACAGGTACTGAGGTTCTGTAGCTCCAGGAAGCTAAGGAGAGAGAGCAGCACAGCTAGACCCTTTGCTTGAAAACTGCCAGCCTTGATGCAAGCTTAAGAGAGATGAACTGCAGCCTGTGTGCTTGCAGGGAAGAGATCTCCCGTAGGATATCGCAGGATACTCTTCTTACTGCTAACAGTTACAGACTAACAAGCAGTTGATTTCCTTCTGAGAGTTCGCGGAGCTCAGTTTAATCCTGCTCCTGAGTAGTTTAGTTACAGACTTCACTGAGAGTCAAAGCAGTCCCTCCCATCTCTTTGAGGAGTGCCGTCACAGCCCATGCCAACAGGAAGCGTGTACCGTCACAAAAGTAACACACAGCAAGCCTGCATCCCAGCATTTAGACAGGACTAAACTAAAGGCGCAATGTAAGCAGACTGTAACAGAGACTGAAGAACAGCAGTCACTCCTCTATCGCTGATTTTCTAATTCAAAGGGCAGCTGGGAAGAGCAGCAAGGTAGTTCAACATGAAGAACCTTCAGAGAGGGAAAAGCCATTCCTCCTCTAAACGTGGAGCAATTAGGAAATGTTGCAAGGAAACAGTGGAAACCAGACAAGAAAGAGGGAAATTACAGCATCTCTTTGGATCCCCCTAAGGATCTTTTTTATCCAGTCCCATTTCTCAAGCCCACATCCTTGCCTTGACAAACAGCAACAAGGGTTTTTGTCCGCTACTTACCATACACCCATCCTACACTTATCACTTCAAAAATGGACAGGAAGAGCAGGCACGTGCCACTGGCAGCATAGTAGTCAAAGAGCTGGAAGATGTACATCCCACCCTGTTGAAAAGGTAGAAGAGAGAGTCATGGCAGGACTATTACATATGAAGGGAAAATGACTGAGTCAAGCAGAAGAACAGCAGCAGAAACACTGCACCTAGAGCAATTGGGCAAAGGAGGAGAGCCTTCTCTTGGGGTTGCCCTCACTCTATCCCAAAAAGACAGCCCGGCCTGGTGGCAGGAGAGCATTTTATGCCCATTTTATGATACTGCTGGGCTATGCTGATTTCTATGTCCACAGGAGCAGGAGCCAGTTTGTTTGCTTGTTTTAAGTCAGTTAGCAAGTTTCCAGCATCATTTCAAAATACCATGTATCAGTGCAGAATTTTGCACCCAAGAAATTGGGATCCTGAGCATCCCCACATTCACGTACCTAATTTTAGCTGCATCCATCTTTACATATTGATCAAGATGCAAGCTCTGTGATGGCAAAGACATGTGGCTCCCCTGCTGCCTCTGCCCTTAAGCTGAGCCCTGCATAGCTGCCATCAGCTACCTGTACAGCTCAGTGGACAACTCCTCTCTCATCCTTTCATGTGCTTTCTCAAAGAGAAAGTCCGTAAAATATGAGTCAAGCAGATGCTTTCAAAGAGTGCTGAAGGGCTCTAGACACTGCCAGAGTAGCAGAGCAATTACCCCTTCATCCCACCACATATGAGGTGACATCCTGCAGTGATGGGACTAGATGCCTCCATGCAAGGGGGCATGCAAAAGCCATGGGAACCCTTAATGCAGCTTCACTCAAAGATCTCTCGATTGCAGTGGAAGCTGCCTTCAGCAAATCTTTAGTCAGGATCCTGTTGGAGGATCATTCAGTGATGTCTAAGATGTTTAGATGGAACTAGCTGTCACTAAACAGCACGTGGAGGCAACACAGAGGAACGCTAAGACCCTTGCCCAAGCACGCAGCATGCACGCACACTGCAGCACAGCACATGCCTGTGCAGGCAGAGGTGCTTGGCTATTAGCTGCAGACCAGGGCAAACACCGTGCGCACAGCATTGCACTGACTCAGCTCTGCTGCTTCTGGTCCCAGGAATCACAGGCTCTCCAGTGGCCCAGGCAGGGTTACAGTGCAGCCATTACACCCAAGCTCCCCTCTTGCTGCTCTGCTTCTTGTGGAAAGTAGGCAACAAATGATCGCTGCCCTTAGAAGAGCTTCTGCTTGTGCAGCTCAGCTTGTTTTAGCCACCAGGCCTGGTATTTGCATGAAGTTGTATGTCAGGCAGTCTCTCTGGGCTGTGGGACCATCTCTCTGTAAGGGTCAGTTATGCAGCAAGTACACTAGCATCACACAGGGTAAAAGCAGCACCAGCTGTGAGAGACACCAGCTAATGCGTTAGAAATTAAGGATAACTAACAGCATCAAAGACAAGCTTACTGTCTCCAACCACTCCTCCAGACCAGTCTATCATGGTTTATGGTGCTTGACTGTATACCCCAGCTACTCCTTTCTTACCTCAGTGACCAGCAATAAGCCCAGCAGGTAGCATTTGACTGCAATGGCCAGGATCAGCAGCTCCCGACGCCCCTTCTTCCGAAACACTCTCGGGAACATGTCAATAATAGCTGTCACCATACTTTCCACACAGACAAACTGCAGAAGAAGACAGGTCAGAAAAATTAGTATCTCCCCTTCCCCAAGCACACACTCCCTCTCACTGTCCTTTTTTCCTCCAGCCACCCAAATCCTTATTTTTTTGTTTTCTCTTTTTGTCTGTCTTGCTTCCACCAAGGGCCAGCTGCAGCTCCTAGGGACCCAAACACAGTTCGACATATCAGTGAGGTTTCCTCCGGAGCTGCAGATCAAAGGGGTTAAAACTACAGCCCCATGCTTGAGGGGGGGGGGGGCGGGGGGAAGCCGACGAGC